ACGTGATAACCAAATAAGAGCGAGATAAATCCTCTAATTAGTGCCCTCCCTGCCTGAAACCACAACATCTCCATGTCTATTGAACGACCCTTAAACTTCATTCTAACTTTCACATTCCGCTGGAGTCGTGTGTGTTAAATGTAAATTTATGCAACTAGTGCAAGGAACTCCGTACTAGCATATAAAGCCGTTGTTAACATCCTCAGCATAACCAAAACACAATGCTGCATAAAATAAGATTAAACTTTTCGCAAAACACGGCCCGCAGGGAGAGCTTGAAAATAATTGTTAAGATTATTGCTATGGCAGAGTTCCAACGACACATTTGCTAGAAGATACAATTGCAGCGTTGTTTTTATGTAATTTGCTTGAGCGTTCACACATAGCTACCTATATTAATTTTACAGCAGCGAAGGGATTCCTAAGAGTATTCTTAATTTTGAAATATTACGTTAAATATACGAAATTATGGAATCGCGATTAAATTACGTAGTACACTTATTTCATTTCTTACCCTACCATTTTCTCCGGTCTGGTAATTATGGGATGTTCACATGGCTCCTTCATTGCCCTTTGTGTTGCTCTAACTTCCTAATCAATTTTGTGGTAAACGGTAATCACCGCCAGAACACACATATTAGCTAGTTCGCTTAAAGCCTCTTATTGAAGATTAATCGATGGTATTCTATTTTAGATGAAAGCTTAAATTTTAGTGGCAAATTATTTGATCTCCTTCCAAGTGGAGGTTTGTTCTTGTTCCAGTTTATTAACAATTAAAGGACAAGTGAACGAAGGCATTCAGCTTAGATAAATATACTCGTATCAGCTTTCGGGAGATAATTTTTTTTCTACATTTCCGTCACCCTATTAAATCCACTTCATTGCTACAGATGGAAAAGGAAAACAAATGACAATAATTGCGTTTAATTTAAGGAACGCTATCAATATCCCATAAAAACCTATTAATAAGGTAAGTGTTTTGGGTAAATTTTCGGAAGTTTGCAGAAAAAATCGCATATATCTCTCTCACATACACTTTCTCTTCCTCTCTTCCTTTATTCCTCTCTTTCTCTCTTCCTCTCTTCCGCTCGGTTTTCCTCTATTGTTCCCATATTTCAAGTGTCCCATTAGAATTCGGTTTGCTGCGCTAGTAACGCGTGCCATATTGTCTTGACTCCATTTAGATTTTAGAATTATCTTGGTGTAATCTTGCGGTACCAGTACTTTGTCAATTAGATTAGCGATAGGGCTAGCACCATCTTTTTTCACGGTTCCATGTCCATGTCTAACGATTTCAGTTATTTTAGATAACACTGACCTCCGTTGTGATAATATATTTGTTTTGATGCCGTAGCTGCAGGTGTACCGTCTCCCTCTCTCCCTTCCTCCCCTCCCTCCCTCTCTCTCCCTCTCTTTTCCTCTCCCTCCCTCTCCTTCCCTCTAGGGATCTTAGCAATGCGAAATATTTAGGAGCCCTCCATTAACATTTCCTCTATCTAAAATATGTTCTGCTTGAGCGATAATCGATTTTCCCATGAATACTTGCTATTGGCATTCTCACATGTACCTACTTTACGTGTTAAATTAATTTATGTTAACTGAAGGCTGGAGTAGAGCCACACCATTTACATATTTCCTATGTACATGCAATTTATTATTTTACGAGTTGTGTTAGCTCAATTGATCGTACAGGTATTTTGATGTGTTTGTGTACTGAATTGATTCATTAGGTTTTCCACTGCATTTAGAATGTCTTGTGTATTTTGTTTTTATGAACTTGTTTAATTGCATTTGATTTGATTATCTGATTTTTATCGTACAATTTGAGATGTTTTATTTATGTGTATTTTCTCTTGCGTTTTATTGCTGTAGGTGATTTATTTCATGTATTTGTATGGTCTATGCCGGGGTTTTTGTCCCGTAGAAGGTTTCCCTGGTATGGTCTTGTTGTGTGCGTAATATATTTATTTTTTATTGTCATGTCTTTTATTTAATTCCCTTCCCGATTATATCTCACGTCCCAACACATACAAAAACCGATTACATAACGTAGGAGTTCATTCGTGCCACCCATATCAAGCCGACTGCCATCCCAATTCAAAAGTGCGGCGAAACGTCCATCGTTTCGGCTTGAAAGGTAGGTGGCTCTGCTTGTAGTTTTTTTCCCAGAGTTGCCAACGGTAAGTACAGAGTAAGTCAATATTTTCAGTGTCGGCTTGATAGACCCCTAGGACCATTACAACGTTACTACGACTTGTTTAACGTTTCTCCAACAACAATTTAGCGTACCGAAGATAGAAGTAACTGCTCCCGAATTTAGCTCGTCTCTTTGGCGGTTCTTGAATTATAACCAATTTTTTACCAATACGCGCAATAACCACTTTTTCGCATTCAAATATTACGTGCTTACTCTTTTTAAGGACAACCTCGTCTGCTGTCTAAAAATCCCGCATACACGGTCCCTCCCTTCGATTACCTGCAAATATAAATAAAAACTCAATTGAATATACACCCGTTATTATCGCCAGATCGTTATTTCCATGATAGGTACAATGTTATTTCCAGACATCATTTTGTTTCTGTTTACTATAAGCGGTACGTCCGTTACAATGTGTAAATCTTCCTATGCTTACCAAAATTTAAATTCGAAAAATTACTTTTTTTAGAAAAAACGGCTAAAGCGACCATCCGTTAGAATATCCTCCACATAAATTAATAATCTACTATTCTTGCTGACTGTGTATGCCACGTGACAGGTACTTCCTTCGTTATTTTTTCTGTTACGATCCCGAGAACGCCAAGGAAGGAACCATCTCTTTCATGGAGTGAATTATACTTCGCACTTCGTCATTCTATCAACAATTTGGGTTCAAAGATTTCCTTTTGAAAAAGTATCTTTTTGTTTATCCTAGCCCCTATGCCATTGAAATATGAAAATAGAGAAACTGAAAAAACAGCTATACCTATATAATGTTGAAGAATCTCTTTCTCTTGTACCTTCAAATCTGGATTCACTTTGATTTCCTAGATGAATATAAAGTATGCTTATCCAATATACACTTTAGCTCTTAATTTCTCTTTCTAGAAGATTTTGAATCTAAAACAGTGGTCAAACTTTTTTGGCCGTGTTAGACATTCGAGAAGATTTTAGTGTCAGAACCAGAACAAGTGAATTCTCGTCTTACTTTTTTGCTTTAAACAATAAAGAGATATTTAAAGATGTTAACTTTAAAAATATCGAATTGTCAAACAGAAAACAAACAATGGTCACCAACAATTTCGAGGGGTAAGTTATGGCTGCCTTTCAAGTGTGTGAAAGGGGTCGGAGAAAAAATTTATATTTCGTTCTACAAAAAAATGCGTTCTGGGGGCATACATCAAATTTCCTATCCGTATCGAAAACGGCCATTTTTAAGAAGGAAATGAACAAATTTGCCATTAACGGATGGTCAACACTTTTACACTGGTGTGTGCTTATGTTTATTGGGATCAAGACAAAAGAACTATGTTCGTAGGGGCATTATTTTAAGAATATAGGGATGCAATGCCTCACATGCTCAAGTTCTCCTTTTTGTCATAACTCAATATTTCCTTTTTTCCGCGTTGTACGATATACACTCGTCTCCTTATAGAGATTCAATATGTAAATTTACAAAAATTTCCTATTACAATAAATTTGCATTTAAGAGGGTACCAGTATGATTTACGCCAAATATCATAAAATAAAACGAATCCTCTAAAATGTAAAATTTTCAATGGCATCTTTACAGTTCTTTCGCTTAGTAATTACGATAGGTATTTTTAAACATCAAATAGCAATTAAATTAAAATGCCTCCAAACGGTGTAAAGGGAGACTAAACGGAAACCGCAAATTCCATTTACTGCACACGTAAATTAAACTATAACATTTAGAGCGACGCTGGTAACAGTAATTTCTGTCTGGTTTTAACTGAAGAGGTCTGTAATCCAATAATCCCTTCCCAATTTATGCCACAAACCAAACTTGAAACCTGATAAATATTTTAGCGGTCCTACGCTTTCAGGATTTAAGATTTCAGTTAACGACCACCTGCATTTCCGTAAGTAAGAAATATGTGTCTGCATTTTCAATTGCACTTCAACCCAAAGCCGATAAATTATGCAAAATAGGTTAGGGTTGGAGCAAAATTTCAAAGGCGCCGTCATTGGTACAATACTGATAACAATCTTAAGTATTTCTTTGTAATCAACTGATACGGAAACGTTCAGTAAACTGTAGTGGAAAAGCATTATAATTTATATAAGTAGTAACGGTTACTGTTTACACTCTTTTGGCAATTTCACTGTTTCGAACGGATATTTTAGAAATTTGTTCGATTTAGCGACATACATTGGGTGATTTCAGCACGCATCTACTACTAAATTGTTATCCATAAAACCATTAAATAATATTATTCAATTAAAAGTACCGGGTGATCATCATAAGTAGTGCAGACAGTTTGAATTTCCCGCAAAACAAAAACATTTTAAAGTTGGTGAATAATCTTTATGTGATTTAATGGTAAATGTGGAGAAATCTTCTTTACAAAGTTAGTATTCGAGAAGTCGTAGCTCACGACACGATTCCTTTAACCCACAATTTAACTATAAACTGAAGTTTAAACTGACATTGTACAACTGGCCCTTAGTCAAATTAGTACATGACTCCTATCTGTCATGCACTAACTCCCAATCGCCAATTTGCGTAGTGACGTAAGCCGCGCTCGGCCAATATCGGCATTTCGTCGGCTGTGTGACAAAATTTGAAAGTTTCACGATATTATAATATGTTGTTTTAATTGACATTTTGCAATTAGAAGAAATAGTTATTTGTTTATAATGAAATGTTTAATTACAAGTTATAAACTTGACGATAAGATACAAACAAGTTATATTAATTTTTTTCAGGAAGACCCTATACTACGAAAGCGTAGAGCGGACATAGATAAAATATTTTACTAATTTCAAGTTATAACTCGAAGTTAAGCCCAGCTTCGAGATACAAATCGAAATTAAGACTAGCTTCGAGTTACAACTCGAAATTAACGGTAATTTCAAGTTATAACTCGAAATTAAGGTCAGCTTCGAGTTACAACTCGAAATTAACGGAAATTTCGAGTTACAACACGAAATTAAGATTAGCTTCGAGTTGTAACCCGAAATTACGTTTGAGTTCCCGTTATTATACTCTGTATTAATCCAATCCCGGTTACTAATTGTTCAGAGTTGACAGTTAGTGGCGATTGTGTTTTAAATGCGGTATCGTGGTACTACTTTGTCCAAATGGAAGAACTGATCTCATTTTATTTTCGTATGGGTTTACAACAGTGCGAAATAGTGTCTTGTTTGGCGTTAAATCATAGCATATTTATTAGTGATCGCCACCTTAGACGTTTGCTGAGAAAACTAAATTTATTCAGAAGACAGAATTACTCGGATATAACCGATGTGGCAAACTTTATTGAAAACAGTGTTCACCAGCACAGCCAACTCCATGGGTATCGGTGGATGTATTTAAAATGCTTGCAGGCCCATTTCGTTGTGACACAAGAAGTTGTGAGACTGTTACTTCACATTATTGATCCGGTAGGTGTAGATATTCGCACTAGACGTAGATTACGTCGTAGGCAATATAAGAATAAAGGACCTAACTTTCTATGGCATATGGACTGTTATGATAAACTAAAGCCATTTGGTATATGTATTAGCGGATGCATCGACGGATTTTCTAGGCGAATAATGTGGCTGTATGCCGGGAACAATACTAGCGATCCAAGTGTGATAGCAGCCTACTATTTGCTAACATTAAAGTCAATTGGAGGTTGTCCTAGAACTGTAAGGGCTGACATGGGCACTGAAAATGGCTTAGTCAAAGAAATTCAAATTAATTTAAGAAACCAGGCTTTAACGGATGATGGGCATAGTCTACTGCCTCCTTTTCTGTATGGAAAAAGTACATCAAATCAAAGAATAGAGTCGTGGTGGTCAATTTTAAGAAAACATCATTCACAGTTCTGGCTTAACCTATTTCATAAACTGCGAGAGGATGGTAATTTTTCTGGAGACTTTCTGGATAAAAACTTGATACAATTCTGTTTTCTAAAGATTATACAGGTAGGAAATACATATTCTATCAGATACTTAAAAAATAGTAGATATTTCTGCCGTAAGATAGTCTGAAGGCGGTGAAGCGTAGTTTTTGTTCTGCACAATAAATGAAAAATGTAAGTAGATATTTCATTACTAATACTGATATTTTTAGGATGAACTGGACACGGTGGCCTTAGAATGGAACTTGCACAGAATATCGGGATCAAGAAACAGTGTTTCGCCAAGAGGTCGACCATTCACCTTGTATCATATGCCTCAAATTTACGATACTACAGACAACATTTGTCACATTCCAATTAATGAAATTTCAAACTTTGATGAATTCTGTGCATTTCCATCCAACTGTCCTTGTGACAGAGATGTTTATGAATTAAGCGTGATTTTAATGATTGAAAATGATTTGCACTTGGCTAGGAATGCACACGATGCCACAGATTTATATTTATATCTACGAGCGAAGATAGTGGATCTTATGATTTAATACAACGGTGTATTGGTTATCACACAGTGTATGTCGATTATTTTACTTTATTCACATACATTCACATATATCGTTTTTATAATTATAAGTATATAAAAATAAAAACTTAACTTTACAAATAAAAACTATGAACTAAACTGAAATTCTCTGATGTGTAACATAACATCAATGTACTTGTATTTAAGCAGTCAATAATAATTAAATAATGTCTATTAACCACACGTTCCCAAAGCACTTGCTGCATTGCCGCGTTGTATTGCCATAAGCTTATTTGTTGTTGAAGACATGTTTTGGCTTGACGAACTCTAGTTTTTGTTTGCAGCAAGGAACCTATTTAATGCCACAATGTTTTGGTTTCTTCGCTCTAGGTTCCCATGGTTTCAATGGCGAAAGCATCAAATTCATATGTTTCTTTAATATCTTTGTATTTCTTGTGCTTCAAAGAAACTGTAGAAGCGGCGCGGCGGCAGAACCTGAGAGCAAACAGCTGTTCTGAAGGTGTGAAGCAGCAACAGTGTCGACGCAAACCAAAGAACGTCCTTTTCCACAGAGTTATAGACATTCCGTCTGGGCGTTTACCACCCGTTCGGAAAAGGCCACACGGTTATAATAAATTTGGAATATCAATTGATACCAGAGCCCGTTTTAAAATATTATTTATGGCACTATGTCGTGAACTTTTTGAACAAGACAGACCATGATGTCCTAGAGAATTAAGAGAAGCAGTACAAATACATGTATGAAGATGGCAAATGTTTGAACCAATCCTTAAAGAGACTGCAATTTGTAAAGCTTGTTTGGCCAATAAAGTAGTACTCAAGGTAAAGCCGAGGGTAAAGCATTTAACCAGGCACCAGACTCTGGTTGTGATGAAGGAAGTAAAACATCTTTATGTGGGGAAAATTTTTGTTATTATTTAATTTTATAATAATTTATTAATACTTTTTTAAATGCCCAAAAACTGTCTCCTCTTCAGAAGAAAGGATTTCATCCCTTAACTGTAGTTTTGCTATTATATTTGTTGAAGTCGGTTCACATACACTATGCAAGGATATCGAATCGCCTATTTTCCCTAGCGCACCTGATTTGGAGAAGCACTTAGCTGCAAACTCTGGTGTCTGAAGTAGTTCTTTTTGCGCTACACCAACTAGTATGGATTTAAAATTAATCTTCGTAACCAGTCTCAAAATCTACTATTTCTTCTTCTTCGACACTATCGAAGTTTGTTAAAGCCTTTCCTAGTGTATTCGATCTCGATTCTGATTCGAATTTTTAAAAATCGTTGGGTATTTCATCGTCGGTAACGAACTGATTTAAACAATTTTTTATGAATACTGGTGCTAAATGTATAGGGAAATAATTGCGGTCACTCCAACCACTTCCAATTATTTTAGCAACAGCTTCCCATTCCGCGAAACCGAAATAATCTCGAAGACAAGGCACTTTAAGGCTCGTTCCAACGGTACAGAGCAGGTTTCCGGCTTTCCGGTATCTTGCACCGATAGGGGCAGGTTTTTCGCGCTGAGACTGCACAAAATAGGAGCGGGAAAAAGCACCAAATTAGAACAGTGTGCTTGTATACCTATGCAAAAAAGTCATCTGACGACGACCTAATTATTTTGGAGTTTGTGTTAATAATGTTAAAGGGAATAAAGATGGCACGCATCCCATTAATCGGGAAAGAAAAGAATAAAATATCCCTTTATCGTCTCTCTACCCGCTGATGTCATGACAATAGATGCATAATATCAGGTATCGCTCTGTAAAAGTGTAAACTAATTAATCAATGAAACCAGGATTTTATCGTTTATTATATGTTTACTTTTAAACATGCAGGGTTAATAAACATTCAATGCGGTCAATTTTAAACGCATGCACGTTTGACATACAATATGGTAATCGCACCTACACAGGCACCTACATCATATAAAATAATAAAAGTATCTAGGTAGATACCTACTGATTTAAAAGAAAATACTTACAAAATAAAAATAATCATAACACACTGATGTAGGTAAACCAAAATCTAAAAAACAAACCAAAAATGATACGTTTGACACCGCGTTTACGGTGTTTTACATAAACAAATGCTTAAAAAATAGTAACATAAAAACTTTGAACTTATTCTAAGAAACCTTTCTATATTATATCCATTACCCATACACCAGATATAAGTAACGCATTGAATTCACTTCTAAACTCTACGAAACTTTTGTAAGATTTTGGAAGTTGCAACAGCTTGTTGCAGGTATGTGCAATTGGTACACGCGCAAAACCGTCAGACTCAATAAAATCAACATTTATTTTCTGGTTGGCAAGATTGGAGCCAGTGCAGAACCGCAGCAGAGCACAACGCGTTTTCTCATCGCTTTCTTTTATGTATTTTAAAAGGAAAGCGAACATCTGATTTTCTACGTCCGAGGAATTGACTTTCTTCTCAAAACAAGAGATAACATTTTTTACGGACGGAGATAAACTTTTATATAATTCATCTAAATTGACAGATCTTGCTATCGAAAATAATTCCTGTGTAAAACATTGCACAATAAAGGCAGAACGCTGTAGAATTTCCTGTTCCGCAATTTGCTCAATTAAACTTCGTATATTTTCTTTACTTGGTACCCATTTCGCCTTAAATAACGTGCATACACTGTATAAGTCGTCAAGATCCACGCTTTGAAAATCATTTAGCGCATTACTTAACACATTTTTGTCACTTTCGCTAACATAATTTAAGAAGTTATCAACTAATTCGACTTTATTTACAATTTCCTTAAAACATTGCTTAAAAAAAACCGGTGCTATCCTAATAGGAAAATATTTTTCTTTTCTATAACCCCCAACTAAAATTTTAGCGACTGCTTCCCATTCTTTTATTCCAAAATCATGGCGTATAATAGGTACTTTATAGTCAGTACCTTCAGTGCAGTTCTCGTAAAATGTAGTCCAGAATTCGGATAAAACATCTCGAAAAACACCACCAACATCTTCAGCAAGTTCTGGCCTTCCGTTTGGTAGAATTACCTCTATTTGAAGACTATTGAAATGTAAATCGTAATTTTTTGTAGCTTCTATAAGTTCCTGAAATATTTGTCCCCTATGTAAAACCAATTTTTCACTTGACAATATATTTTCAACTATGGCGGTCGAGGTCTGAGTTACTTCAAATATGTTATCTGTGGCTGAGAATGTGTTGAGGAAATTATCCGGCGAGTTATGCAAAGGTAAATCAAGATCCTAAAAATAAGTTACTTGTTAATGGTACACGAGTTTTTGATGGTGAGAAAAGTCAGTCAGTCAGGCAAAGTCAGAATTAGAAAATGTTTTAACTAGAAGAAGCTACCATGAAAGTTTCATCCTTCCACAAATAGACATTCTGCATATGCACAAATGCGCAGAAGATGACTTTTGGCATGTGCGTAAAAGCTAAGAAAAGCTGTTCTGCAAATAGGAACGAGTTACGTGGATCGATGGAAAGACAGCCAGACCGACAAATCATTTGAAATCATTTTCATTTTGTTTATTGTGATACAAATAGGTACCATTTAGGGGAAGAGATACACGGAAGACGGAAGACAGGCGGACGGACAGGCAAACAGACAGACAGAGAGACGGAAAATAAAGGGCTTTTCACATTTTTGCGGGTTCGGAGGGGCGTTACAAAAATGTTGAATGTAACTGTTTAAAAGTAAAAGATATAGTCAAAGCGAAAAAATTACTAGCTATATAATAAAATGTAGTTACCTCTTCAATAAAGGAAGCTAAATATCCGGAAATATTGCTGGTTGAAGGTTGATTGATATCGTCTTCTCTATAAGCAACCGTACTGGGTTGAGGTGGTTGGTTGGAAACAATGTCGTTTTCAAAGTCATCACATAAATCGAAGACCATCTCATTCTCACTACTGTCATCTACCAGAGGAAGATCATTACCGCCTTCTTTGCATTTAACAACGGATAAATAAAACCGCAATTTATTTACTTTGGTTTCATTGTACATTTCCTCAACAGTTAAGTCGGTATCCACTGGGCTCTTGCAAAAATCAAGCAGACTTATTGTGAAGTTTTCAATAGGCCCAAAAGTCTTTGAAATATTGTTAGGGAAAAACAATTTTTTTGCAAATTCCAAAATATCTGTATTTTTGCTTGTCCTATCTACGTCGACTTTTCTTGTGCCTCCCCCTTTGTTAAGTCTAACTTGCGTTAGTTGTTTTGTGGTATCATTGAACGCCATAAATCCCAATTCAATAGCTCTGGTCGTCTTTCTATGCTTCTTCGGTTCCAATACGTGAGAAGATGCTCCTTTATTATCACTTCTAGCATTTCTGGCAGCCATTTTTTGGGGTAGCTTTTCAATTAAGCCATTTTTTTTTGGGTAATAGCTTCTTCTGGCAAAAGTTTTTCACCGCTATTCTGTCGCCTAATCGAGGAATGTATTTCTTAAATACCTCCTCGTCCATTACTTGAATGGTGGCTTCATCAATCTGATAAACATACAAATTAAAGAAGTTGAGATATTATATAACTATCAATTCGTAGATATCGTCAGTCAAATGGATAAGTGTGATTAGCGGACTAGCCTACGAGTATAATGTTATATATAACCCGCCTTCCGGGATAGTATCGTGTCAATGTTGAACGAAAAGGCTTTTTGTTCAACATTAGCATGATCCTATTCCGGAAGCCGCTCGCATCTTAATAAAAACAAAGATTGTAAATCGACACAAGGTGTGCTGTGACCGGTATATTGCTAGTATAGGAGTATACTTACATTTTCTAACTTCATATTTTCAATTTCATCATTCGATAAGCCTCTCGTCTTTAAGAACTCTTCCAAAGACAAATTCATCTGTAAAAAATTAAATTGTCGCACAACCCTTAGCAATAACTTATAGGCACGCCATTACTAGCTTTACTGACGAGTTGAGAATGCATCCTTTTACCATGGTTTAAATACTTTTAAAGAATGCTTTTACACAACGCAAATGAATTACGTAAAGAATATGACTTACCTGTTCCAAGCAGTTTTCTTCACCCATGGTTCACATTCACAGAGAAATATAACAAAATTCGCTTACTTTGAGTTATTATTCTACTTAAGTCGGTTTAGAAGATAGAGATGACACGTAATCACCTACTCTAATTCTTAACTGTCATGTGCCTCAAACAGTAATTAGTTGAAATACTTAGTAATAAGCTAGTCTTAATTTCGTGTTGTAACTCGAAATTAACCTTAATTTCGTGTTGTAACTCGAAGCTAGCCTTAATTTCGACTTGTAACTCGAAACTGACCTTAATTTCCAGTTGTAACTCGAAGCTAGTCTTAATTTTGACTTGTAACTCGAATCTAGTCTTAATTTCAAGATGAAACTCGAAGCTAGTCTTAATTTCGACTTGTAACTCGAAGCTAGCTTTAATTTCGAGTTATAACTTGAAATTAGTAAAATATTTTATCTATGTCCGCTCTACGCTTTCGTAACATGCCCATATTTTTAAAAAATTTAATTTTTGTATTTTTTGCAGACATTTTTGAGCGCCATCTTGAATTTCTCAAAATATTCAAGGGTGACAGAGTGGCATCAATCGGATTCTTAAAATAGACCTACTTAGTGACCTAAAACCGCAAAAAAATTTTCACCGTTTCTGAAACAATCACTACACAACAGTTACAAAGATGAGTGACACGTTTTTAATTAGGTTTTCGGGTATGCCCTTTCCGATTTTGAAAAAAATTTTCAAAATTCCTATCACGGAAGGGCACATCCCTGCTTCGACGAAATTTGGTGCCTGGGGGTTTTTGAACATAAAAATCACGAATCTGGAATTAGTTTTTGAAAATTCGAAAAAAAAGTACCACTGCAATTCTTGGCCGGACAACGAAAATGGAGAGAATTCCAAGAAATTGGTTGTGTACATACTGGAATTTTAAAATAACTTTTCAAACAAAAGTTATAGGTACTCGTTTGAAGAATGGGCCTTGGGGTTACATAGTGTCTCTCGCCTACTACTATAATGAATGATCTATATATGTAGTTAGTTGAAAATGTCACAAATAACAAAAAAATAACGATTTAAGTTGCCCCCATTTGATTTGTCCTATTATCTCCAAAACCAAAAAGGCACAAACGGTGCGCATAAATGCACTATTGAGCACAATTGATTATTGAGGCACAATACGTAAAAAAAAATTGGTTCATTGTTGGCTAAGTGAACGGTCCCTTTATCATATTATCATAGCATTTTATTGTCTAATTATCTTGTATCCAATAATTGACTTTTTACGTTCTGCAACAACGCTGTTATTATTATTGAATTAAGAACTTATAACTTGTTAAAAAATTAAGTCGGATATTCATCTGAAAACTATATTTAGACGATCTTTGTATCAAAGGTATCCAGTTACCTACGTGCGTAAGTTTATCAATGACATGATGTCATCGTAGTCAAAACATTCTCTCTCACCTCTCTACTCATTTTGAAGTGAGTATCTCGGCTATATTATATGAATTAAAAAATGTTGAAGAGTTTCCTTTAATCACGTTTTGTTACTTGCCGTAGGATACCAGCACATTCTAGATAATGAATACTGGCCACCTTTTCTCCTATCTCACTGACCTTCTATTCAGATTTATTATTCAATGCTATTGTTTACAAATGAGTAACAAATAAAATATTGTACATTATACCTACGCCAGGTGTGGTGTATGCAACTAATCATACACTAAAGTATTGTAATGTCTATGTACATATTGTATCAATGTTCAATGTGAATAAACCAGTTCGTATTTGACTAACAAAGAGACATGACATGGCGCAGTCACGAACCTAAATTTAATTGATAAATCAAGTTATATGAATGAAAATTGAAGCAGAGAAATTAAAAATGGACTCAAATGAAAAACTACGACCTATGAAATTAAGTGGAAACCTAGCCGAAAATTGGAAAAGTTGGATACAGCGATTCGAAATATATTCAACAGCAACAGAGTTAGATGGCAAGGACCAGAAGATCCAATGCGCACAAATGCTTCATCACATGGGTGAGGACGCCATTAACATTTTCAACAGTTTCACGTTTGCAGATAACGAGAAAAATAAAATTGCCTCCCTCAAGGAAAAGTTCGCAAATTACTTTGTTCCAAAAACAAATGTCACGTATGAACGCTACAAATTTTTTACTTCGAGACAAAATGAGGAACCGCTGGAACAATTCATCACAAATCTGAAAAACCAAGCTCAACTATGCAATTTGGGTGAAGAGGCATTAAGGAACGAATTAATAAAAACTATGTTAATAATTGGAATCAAGGACGAAGCTGTCAGGGAAAAACTACTACAAAAGGAAGACTTGACATTAGACAAGGCCATTGAATGTTGTATCGTAACGGAGAGTTCCCGCCAACAACTTCGAGACATGAAACAAAATACATCGTCACAGTCCCAAGGAGTGAACGAGATCGACAGCATTAGAAGGACCACAAGAACAATGGAATCAAACTCACGTGCCAATAAGGAGACGAAGTCACGGTTTGATAACAAAGACCAATTTAAAAAAGTAAGTAATTGTACAAGATGTGGTAAAAATCACTCAATTAATAACTGTTCTGCTTATGGTGCCTTATGCAATAATTGCAAAAAACCAAATCATTTTGCAAATGTTTGTAAATATAAATCACATAGAAATAGGAAAATAAATGAAATTGTTGATCATGATAATTACGAACAAAGTCTGTTGATAAATGAAATTAGTAACAATTCAAAAATTAATAATTGTACTATAGAACTGATTGTAAATAACAAAGTCAATGTGTTTGTCAATTTTAAAGTGGACACTGGTGCTAATGCAAACATAATTTCACTAGACCAATTGAAAAGTATTGAATTTAATGAAAAAAGCATTCAAAGATCGCATGAAATTTTATTAACTTTTACAGGTCAGAAAATTCCGATTGTAGGTAAATGCTATTTACATCTTAGACTAAAAGACAAATTAATTAAAAATGTTGAATTCCATATTCACAAAGGCAATGGGTCGATTATTGGTATAAACGCTTGTGTTGAGTTAGACATAATCAAATTTCACGAGGAGGTTAAATTAAAAGAAATTTATGCCATAAATAAAAATTGTAATTCAGGATACGAAAAGCTAATTAACGATAATTCAAATTTATTTAAAGGAATAGGGAAAGTAGGGAGACCCTACCACATTGAACTAAATGAAAATGCAATGCCAGTTGTTAAGCCTATCAGAAATGTACCTTTTGCGATTCAAGAACAATTTAAAAAACACTTGAACGAATTGGTAAATTTAAAAATAATCGAACGAGTTGAAGGAAGTTCTGAGTGGGTAAATTCCTACGTCATTGTAAGGAAAAATAACGGTTCTCTACGAATTTGCCTTGATCCAAAAAACTTAAATGAGTCCATCAAAGATTCAAAATATAAATTAACAAGTTTAGACGACATAATTTCAAACATTAATGGTTCCACAGTTTTTACACTATTAGATGCTACAAGTGGTTTTTGGAATATACCTCTTGATAAGGAGTCAAGTAAACTATGCACATTTGCAACGCCTTTTGGCAGGTACAAGTTTTTAAGAATGCCTTTCGGTATAAAAACCGCTAGTGAAGTATTTCAGGAACGATTCCAAGAAATATTCGCGGATAACGGAGTGCAGGTATACATTGATGATATTTTAGTGCACGGTAAAGACAAACAGGAACATGACGAGCGTCTAAAAAACGTGTTCAGAAAAGCACATGAGCAAAATGTAAAATTTAACTTAAGTAAGTGTAGATTTGGAGTAGGGGAAATTAAATACTTAGGGTATAAATTCTCGAGTGAAGGGATAATGATAGATGAAGAAAAAATTGATGCTATAAAAAATATGCCTCAACCTAAAAATAAAAAAGACATACAAAGATTCCTAGGTTTTATCACGTATGTTGGTAGATTCATAGAAAATTTGTCAGAAAAAACTCAACCACTTAGGGAAATTATCAAACAAGAAAATTTATTTGAATGGGGCGAACCACAAAATAAAGCATTTGTAGAATTAAAAAATTTAGTAATCAAAGAACCTATACTGAGATATTATAATCCTAAAAAACCAATTACATGATCGGTAGATGCATCAAAATCCGGTTTAGGTGCAGTACTATTACAAGATAACCAACCTTGTGCATATGCATCACGTACTATGACAACAACACAACAGAACTATGCTCAGATCGAAAAAGAATTATTAGCTATTGTATTTGGTGTAAACAAATTCCATCAGTACGTTTACGGAACTAAATTCATAGTAGAAACGGATCACAAACCGTTAATAGCAATTTTCAAAAAACCATTAAATGCGTGCCCTGCAAGACTTCAACGTATGTTATTATCCTTACAAAAATATCAGATTCACCTAATCTACAAACCAGGAAAAGATCTGATAATTGCAGACACTTTGTCACGTGCTAATTCAAGTAAGACATTTGATGATAATTTAGATCTTGAAGCTCAGGTATGCTTAATTCAAAAGAAATTAATAATAACTGATAATCGGGTAGCACAGTTAGTAAAAGAAGTCAGTAAAGATGAAGAACTTCAATCAATTAAAAAATATGTAGTAAACGGTTGGCCAAGTATTAGTAAAATTCCAAGTAATATAAATCCGTATCATAAATTAAAAGCCGAAATAACGCTAGGTACCAACGGTTTAATTTATATGTCACAGAGAGTCATTATTCCGCAATCGTGGAGAAGCAAAATCCTAGACGACATACACACAGGTCACTTAGGTATAAACAAATGCATTTCTCGTGCAAAATCATCTGTTTATTGGCCTAACATGAACTCGCACATTGAAACTCTTGTAAATAAATGCGAGATGTGTAATAGACATGCGAACTCAAATAAACGAGAACCGATGATTTCACACGAAATAATTAAAAAACCATGGCAAAAAGTGGGCATTGACTTATATGAAGTATCTGGAAAAATTTATCTAATTGTAGTAGACTACTACTCAAAATTTCCAGAAATCTCGAATCTTCATAAAAACTTAACATCTAGTAACATAATTAACAAATTAAAAGCAATTTTTGCAAGACATGGAATCCCAAAAATAGTCGTTTCCGACAGTGCAAAACAATTCACAGGCATTGAATTTCAAAATTTTAGTAAACAGTGGAATTTTTTATCAATAACATCCTCTCCGCATCACCAACAGTCAAATGTACAAACGGAGAGAACCATTCAAACAATAAAAAAATTAATTAAGAAATCAACTGAAAATAATGAAGATATTTATCTAGCATTATTATAGCTTTCCGTAACACTCCTGTTTACAATTGTTATACACCATCTCAAATTTTAATGTCCCGATACCTCAGAGACAACTTGTTAATAATTGATTCAAAGTTAAATCCAAAATTAATTAACAACACAAAACTTAATCAGAAAATTAGTAATTCTCAATCGTACAACAAAAAGCAATATGATAGTAAAGGTGTAAGACCGAGACAAGATTTTAAAATCGGCACAGCCGTTTGGTATCAATTAAAACCCAAAAGCCTATGGAAAAGGGTAAAATAGTAGACAAACCTAGTAATACAACTTACAAAGTGCAGACATTAGATGGTAAGGTGTTAATTAGAAATAGATTTTATATTAGACAATGTCACACAAATAATGTAGAAAATAAGGATAAGTATTATTCAAATTTTGTATATGAATTTGATGATGACAATTTAGATTCACATCAAAATGTAATTAGTAATAAGGATAGCGATCATTCTAAACCAAGTGTAAGTGCAAGTGCGAGAGAAGCAAAAGACAAATTAGACTACCACCCGCTCTAAATGATTATGTTCTTTATAAATAAGGGAGATGTGGTGTATGCAACTAATCATACACTAAAGTATTGTAATGTCTATGTACATATTGTATCAATGTTCAATGTGAATAAACCAGTTCGTATTTGACTAACAAAGAGACATGACACCAGGTAATAGTTTTTACTGGCTCTAGGAGATGACAGGCTCGCCTGACGGCTCGCCAGTCAACTTCTCCTATCGCCAGTAAAAACTCACTTACCTGGCTATTAATGTAAAATACTATTACATTACAAATGCATAAAATATATTCTTTACCACGGCAGCGCCCCCACATGACGGCCCTGCCTCAAATACCAGTTCGCGTTTCCGTAGCCAATAGGTCCTGAGTCCTGCCACTTATCCTTGGTTCGTAGTAGATCGAAATATACAGAGTCAGTCGACGAAAAAGAAGTGAGTTGAAATTTCCTCACGAGACATCCGGAATCAAACTTATCGGGATATATAAAATGGTCTATAAAGCCAATAAAGCTGGCCCAAAGTGTTCGGGCCGTTGGTTTTAATTGTTGAGGCGATGCGAAGGTAGTGTAGAGCTTTGATTATAAAATACATACGTATAGTCTATATTCAAAGACGCAGAGCATGTTTAGTAGATATTCACCTAAGCACGTAAGTTTCAAAAAACCCAGAACCATTGCTTACGTTTGTGTAGCCGAACAAAAGTAAATATTTGGTTCAAAGTAGCCTAACACGATTTTAGGCAACTGGTAACGATATAAACGGCTCGGTGAGTCATTAACCAAGGAGACCCGAGCGCCAATTCTGTGGTAGAAACTAATCATTTTCAAAAACCCACGAGTCTATCATTCGGCGCGACCCCTTTTAATTTTAGTAGCAAACTTGGCCACAGTTTGTTCAGATTATTTTTTTCAGATGATAAAGCTACGAAAAATTGGTTCTTGCCATTCCTTGAATCACGATCTTGAAACTTGAAAGTTATATCTTCGAGAATAATGTTTTCCAAATGATAAAAGCTTTTAATTCTTTAATTTCTGGCAACCTATTCCTTGGTTGGTTTTGATTATTCGCCTATTTAATGCAGTTTGTAATTATCTTCCATGACGCATTTGTTATGAAATGAATATATGAATTGTAATTGTAAAGGAGTTCATTCCCAGAATGTTAATTAGGGAATAAACCTAATTATCTCCTACCGTGCCTTGTCTCGTGATTCTTGTGCTACTTGAAATATAAGACCTCATAAACGACGATCACTAAAATTTTAGTTTAAAATCTTACAGGACAAAGCGTAAAAACCATCATTATGGTACTAGGGTACTATCATCT